GGCACTAACTCTAGCCTCGGCAACAAAGTGAGACCCTGTCTCAAAAAAAAAAAAAAAAAAAAGTCAAATGATGCCAAAAGTTTATAAGAAAAATTGGCAGGTCTCCTTTTCCCTACTCCCTACTCCCTGCTACCACTTCTCACCAGAGACATCCACTTTCTAGTCTCTTCCTATTGATTTTCCTGCCATTCACTTCCATATTTCTAAATATTGTACATACTTATAGTTTCATACAATGAACACAAAAACAACATAAGGAAAAAATAGTGAAACCTACAGCTGTTTCTTTGAAAAGATCAATAAAATTGATAAACTTCTAGTTAGTGGGACCAAGAAAAAAGAGAAAAGACACAAATTACCAATATCAGCAATGAAAAAGGACATATCACTACAGATCCCGTAGACATTAAAAGGATAAGGTATAGTCTTAGTCTATTCAGGCTGCTATAAGTAAAATACCATAGACTGGGTAATTTATAAACAGTAGGAATTTATTTTTCACAGTTCTGGAGGCTGGGAAATCTAAGGTCAAGCCACTGGAAGATTCAGTGTCTGGTGAGGGCCCATTCTTCATAGACAGCACCTTCTCTTTCTGTGTCCTCACATGGTGGAAGGGCAGCAGACTCTCTCAAGCCTCTTTTATAAAAGCACTAATCCCATTCATTAGAGTGCAGCCCTCATGACCTAATTAAGGTCCCACCTTTTAGCCCTTTGCACTCGGATGTCAAGTGTGACTCGACACGGTTTGCAAAAATTATAGAGATTAAAATTACTCTTTGAATGTATCAATAATTTGAAATATAAAAAAATCCGAATAAATAAGTTTGTATGAAAAGAAACTCCAGTTTTTTACTGTACTGCTGCGCTTTGTAAAATCTGGGGTATTTAAAAATTAAATTCCGAGTAGAATAAAGGAATCAAGAAAAAAGCAAGTGAGCGCAAAGGGTTAATATTATAGCACTGGGAATTAAGTTTCTAACATAAGAATTGTGGGGGTGTCATTAACATTCAGACCTTAACATGTACATTAATGCAGTAACTTAGATTGAGTGGCACAATTTCTTGAAAGATATAAATTGTCAAAACTCTTCAAGAAGTAGGTAAACTGAATAGATTTATATCTGTTGAAGAAATTGATTTTTTTTTCCAAAACAAAGTCCAGGCCCAGATAGTTTCATTGGCAAATTCTACCCAACGCTTGAGAAATGATGCTCATTGCACACTTGCAGAAAATAAAGGAGGAAACACCTCCCAACTCTTCTTATGACGCCATTACCTGCATATTAAAACCAGACAAGGATAGTACTAGAAAACTACAAACTGATATCCCTCATGAGTGTAGACACAAAAAATTTCAATAAAATATCACCAAATCAAATCTTGCAATACATAAAAACAGTAATGCAGCACGATGAAAGGATTGATTCTAGGAGTGTAAGACTGGTTCAATATTTGAAAACCAATGTAATCCACCACATTAACAGACTAATGAGCAGTAACTACATGATCTTGTTAATAGATGCAGATAGAGCATTTGACACAATTCAGTATCAAAACTAGGAATAAAAGGGAACTGGTCACAGTGGCTCACGCCTGTAATCCTTGGGAGGCCAAGATAGGAAGATCACCTGAGGCCAGCAGTTCAAACCCAGCTTGAGCAATGTAACAAGATTCTGTCTTTACAAAAAATTTTGAAAATTAGCTGGGTGTGGTGGCACACACCTGTGGTTCCGGCTACTCAAGAGGCTGAGGCAGGAGGATCACCTGAACCTGGGAGTTAGAGGTTATAGTGAGCTATGATTGTGCACTGCACTGTAGCCTAAGCTACTGAGTGAGACCCTCTCTCTGAAAAAAAAAAAAAACTTAGGCCGGGCGCGGTGGCTCACGCCTGTAATCCTAGCTCTCTGGGAGGCCGAGGTGGGTGGATTGCTCGAGGTCAGGAGTTCGAAACCAGCCTGAGCAAGAGCGAGACCCCATCTCTACTATAAATAGAAATAAATTAATTGGCCAACTAATATATATACAAAAAATTAGCCGGGCATGGTGGCGCATGCCTGTAGGTACTCGGGAGGCTGAGGCAGGAGGATCGCTTGAGCCCAGGAGTTTGAGGTTGCTGTGAGCTAGGCTGACGCCATGGCACTCACTCTAGCCTGGGCAACAAAGCGAGACTCTGTCTCAAAAAAAAAAAAAAAAAAAAAAAAAAAAAAAAAAAAAAAAAAAAAAACTTAAAAAAGGGGAACTTCCTTAATCTAAAAAGGGCGTATGGGAATAACTGATGGCTAACATCATAGTTAATGGTGAAAACCTGATTTTCCCCCATGAGTAGAAAAAGACATGATTGCTTGCTTTCCCCAGCGCTGTTGAAAGTCACACTGGAAGTCCCAGCCAGTGCAGTTAGACATGAAAGAGATACAAATAACGTGCATAATGCATTCTCAAATTGCCTGCCAAGTTTTTTGTAGATGTAAACAAACCTATTTTAAAGTTTATATGGGAAAGCACAAGATTAAGAATAGCTGTTAACACTGGGGCTCTTATAAGAAAAAAAAAAAAAAAAGAATAGCTAACACAATTTTTTTGAAAGAGTGGGAGAAATAACTCCACCCAATGTTAAAAGTTGCTATATAGCTGCAGTAATCAAGAGAGTGACCAAGAGAGTGTGGTACTGGTAGACACATAGATTAATGGAACAGAGAACCTAGAAATAGACCCACGAAGACATTCCCAATGGAATTTTGATGAAGGAACAAAAGCTATTTAATAGAGGAAAGATAGCCTTTTCAACAAATAGTTCAAGAGCAGTTGGACATCCGTGATGTAATAAAACATATATTCAATCTTTGTCTCTGGATCCTGGCACAAAGCTAAAAGCCTTGGAATTTCTTGCTTGATAGGAGTGCCTTTTGCTATTCATAAGGAGCCCCTTTCAACTGCACCTGAGTTTATGCTAATGAGGTAACTCAAGTGGGACCCCTAGATGACTAGATAGGGGATAGTCACCATAAAGAAGGTGAGAATTCTCATCCATACACGATTCAGAGAGCATCTAGGTTGGTAAACACATCTGTGTGCTGGGAGGGTGGCATGCCCAAACCTTACCCTATGTATCTCTTCCATTTGGCTGTTCCTGAGTTTTATCCTTTGTAATAAACCAGTAAACATAAATGTAATGTTTTCCTGAGTTCTGTGAGTCACTCTAGCGAATTGTCAAACCTGAGATGGGGAGACATGGAAGCCCTTGAATTTGTCATTGGCCTAGCAGAAGTGTGGGTAGCTTGTGGCTGGTGTCTGAAGTAGGGGCAGTCTTGTGGGACTGAGCCTTTGACCTGTTGGGTCTGTGCTAATTCTGAGTAGTTTCCAAACTGAATTGTTGGACACTCGGTGTTGGAGAAAACCATACATTTGGTGTCAGAAAAAAAGATACTCCAATATCCATAAGGGGAAAAAATAAAACTATAAGTATTTTAGAAAAAAATAAAGGAGGAAACCCTCAGGATTCAGGGTTAGGTAAAGAATTGTTAAACTTGACACTAAAAGCTTGCTCCATAAAAGGAAAATTGATAAATTGGATATCATCTAAATTAAAATCCTTTCCTCTGCTAAAGACACTGTTAAGGAAATAAAAAGATGAGCTACAGACTGGGAGAAAATATTTGCAAACTATATATTGGACAAAGAACTTATATTTAGCACATATAAAGATCTCTCAAAACGGAATCTTTTTTTTAATTAGAAAATGGGCAAAAGACATGAACAGACATTTCACTGAAGAGGATATGCATATGGCAAATAAACATGAAAATATGCTCAGCATCATTAGCCATTAGGGAATTGCAGATTAAAATCACAGTGAGCTATTATAGCATACGTACCAGAATGGCTAAAATGACAAATAGTAATAACAAAAATGCTGATAAGAATATGGAGAAACTGATTCACACATACATTGGTGGGAATGTATTAATAAAATGGTACAGTTATTCTGGAAAAGTTTGGCAGTTTCTTACAACACTAAGTATGTACTTACTGTGTGACTAGTAGTTACACTCTTGGTCATTTACCCCACACAAGTCTGTACACAAGTGTTCATAGCAGCTTTATTTGTAATAGCAAGATACTCAAAACAACCCTAATGTCCACCAATGAGTGAATGTTTAAACTACTGTATACCATTGAATACTACTTAGCAATAAAATGGATCTCAGGGGAATTATGTTCAGTGAAAAAAGCCAATCTCAAAAGGCCACATACTGTATGATTCCATTTATAGGACATTTTGTAAAGGCAGAACTGCAGCCAGGACTGCACAGATCAGCGGTTACCGGGAGCTATGGGTGGGGGAGGGTGTGACCACAAACGGGCGGCGGGAAAAATTGTTTTGTGCGGTGGAATTCTTTGACCTGTGTTGGGGTATATGAGTTAACATTCACAGAACTGATTACCGAAAAGTGTGTGTGTGACTGTACGTGAATTAAAAATAAAATATATAAAATAAACTGTTCAGATACACATTTTAAAAAATCAATTCACACAGACGACCAAAATGACATCCTCACAAGCTCTGCTATCTGGAAAACTGAAGCGGGAAGCGGCTTCCTAGCCCTTGCCCGTCTCCGGGAGGGGCCGCATCTGGTGTGGCTTCGGTGCAAGCCCTCACGCCAGCCGCCTCCCGCTCCCTCCGCTTCGGCGGGGGCTGTGCTCGAGCTGCGCTCAGTCCCGGAACTGCGGGGCGTCTCTCCGCCTGTGCTTTCTGTCGCCTCGTCTCCGGATTTTCCCTGCTCCAGGTCTCTCTCCTTTTCTTGTGTCTCTGTTGGTGCGTGTCTTTTCCTTTCCTCCTCTGACTGTCTTCCCTCTTTGTCTCGGGTCCCGGGTCTCTAGTTGGCAGGAGCGAGCCTCTTTACCTGCTCGTTGGCGGTGTTGCCATGGCAGCGATGGTGCTACAGGCGCTGTAGCAGCCTCGCCCCGCCCTCCCGGGTGCGGCATCCTGGGAGTCGTAGTCCGCGACCGGGGGTGGGGGTGGGGCACCGCGCACGCGCAGTTTGGCTAGCAGCCATCACGCCACCGAGGCTCAGGGCTGCTGAGACCGGCCTGGGTACTGCGCAGCAGGTGGGTCGGGCCGTGGCCCAGTGCGTGGGGCGGGGAGGACAGGCGGGGAGCGACCTCGGCCTGGAGAGGTGATGAGGGCGGTGGGAGAGAGGCCTGGGGCGCCCCCGGGTACGGGGGTGCGATCCCCCCGGCGGGCTTTGGGCGGGAGAGGGCCTGGGAGTCGGGTGGGAGTGCGGTGGGGGAGGGGCCGGGCCCAGGGGTGCGATCCCCTCGGGATGGCCTGGAGGGGCGGGGCTGGGAGATCGGCGGGAGGGGCCAGGCCCGGTGTCAGGGACAGGGAGGGTCGAGGGGCCCCTACTGTGGTCGGGAGGAGTATTAGGAGAGGGTGAGTGGGCGCCGGGGGAGGCGAGGGGCTTAAGGCCTGAGTGTGGGGCAGTTGTGTCCAGGACGGGGAGGGGTCGAGGTACTTCTGAGGGGGAAAGCGCGGCCGGGAAGGGGCTGCCTTTCTGGGTGTCTGCCAGAGGGAGGGCTGAGGTTGCCCCTAGTAGAGAACGGGTTGGCTATGGCACCCTGGGACGGGTAGCGGAAGGGGGGGCGCATCCACATGGCGGGGGACCTGGGCTGCTGTTCAGGGTGGGGCTGAGGCATTGTCTCTGCTCCCCCACCAGCACCCTCTTGACTGAGGGTGAGTTCGGTTTCACTTAGGTGCCTGCCCCGCCCCTGGCAACACCTATCCTGGGAAGAGGAGCACGGTAGGGGGTCCTGGCCTCTGGGGCGCGGGGGCAGGGTCAGATGGAAAGGATCCTGGGGTGCGGCAAGGGGGGAGTGGGGACTACGGAGGATTGTGTTTTTTTAAAAAACTGAAATTTGTAGAAGAATTTTAAGGAAAGGTCATAGAATCTCTCCATACCCTTTGCCACCCAGATTCACCTGTTAGTATTTTGCCCCCTTGTCACCTCTTACTCCTTTCTCCTCTCCCTCTGCCCCCATCTCCTCTTTCTCTCTTCTCCCTCTCTCTCTCTCCCCCTTTCCCTTCCTCTCCCCTCACCTCTCCCCCATCCCCTCATCTCCCTCTTCCCTCTCCCCCATCTCCCCTATCTCATTCTTCCTTTTCTCCCCTCTCTTCCCTCTCCTCTCCTTTCTCCACTCTCCTCTCTGCCCTCTCTTCTCTCCCCTCTCCTGTCTCTCCTCTCTCCCCTTCTTCTCTGCTCTCTTTGTCTACCTCCCTCCCTCCTCCCTTTCTCATACACATACCTGTATCATACATATACATGACTTTTGGGAGGCAAAGCCTGGGAGGCTAAGTCAACAGTCACATCATCCTCAACTCCACACTATGGTCTAGCCCTCATCATCTTCACCTCCCCAATCCCAACAGTGTCCTATAAATGTTTCTTTTCTTGCTGAGGCACAAGGACAGGCCACTCATTGCATCGAGTCTTGTTTCTCAGCCAGTAGGTCCTCGGACCTGGGAATTCCTCAGCATTCCTGGCCTTGAGGCTTTGGGGAGCCCAGGCCAGTCTCCCTGGTTCTGGTGGTCCTCCTGAGTGGATCAGGGACCACAGCGGGCAGCTGGGATGTTAACAGTGATCCTCAATTCATGTTTTTTAAAATATTTTAAAGACACTTTCTCCCCTTTTATAATGAATAAGTAACCTGCAGGTGAAGCCAGAGGAGCCCCTGTGCGTGTCCTGCCACCCATCAACCTCCCTCCCTACCAGTGAGCTTCCATGGAGGACCCTGGGGCCTGTGGCCGTGGGGTGTTTGCTGGACCAGGTGGTGACGGGGAGCAGAGTGGAGAGAGCTGATGGCGAATGTCCTTTAGGTGGTTAAGTGTCTTGGAGGAGGCAAGTGGGGCTGGAGAGGAAACCTGAAGTCATGGTAGGGCCTGTGGGGGGTCCCTGGCAGGCTTAAGCTCTGCTCAGGTCAGGGTGAAGAGGATTTGCTACAGGACTCTGGAGGCCTACCAGGCTTGGGACCCTCCATTTCAGCCACCCACCATGGCTTTCTCTACCTCTCCTGATGCCAGGGGTGCTAGGCTCCAGGAAAATCCCATCCAAGGCAAATCCTGGACAGCCCAGGGTGGTGGGAGGTCTGCCTGGTGACCAGGTTGGACTTCTAAGGGGTGTGGCCTCACTCAAGCAAGCCAGGGACAAGAAGGGGTCCGGGTGGTGTCTGTGCCTAACGAAAAGTCCTCACAGCAGCATAACCAGGGATGGGGCCGGAGGAGGCAAGCAAGGCAGACTCAGGGCCAGAGGTCCCAGGAGGCTCCGGATGGTTCACCTTCCTAGTTGGATGGTTCACCTTCCTAGTTCTGACCACCAGGACCACCTTAGGAAGGAAGGTACAGTAGATCTCAGACACAGGAAGCCACATGCTGTTCTCACAGAACACGGCAGCCTCCTTGCAATTGAGGGATCTTTCTGAGGAGACCCCCGGGTGCCTCTGCTGTTCTCTGCTAGTGAATGGAGGCTGAGGTGGCTTCCTGAAGAGGCTCACAGCTTGCAATGCTGAAGGGAGAGGGCACAGAGGAGCAGACGATGTCCCATGCCTATTCCCAGGGGCTGACATGCAGACCCCTCTATGTTGGCCACCAACCCAGCCAGAGTATTCCATGCTCCCCGTTCTACCCTGGCAATGGCCAAGGGCCCTTGCTCATTCTACCCAGACCCCCAGGCCTGGTCACTATGCGTACAGATGGGAGTTTGCAGGGGAGGAGGAGCTTAGGGCTGCAAGACCACTGTGAAGGCTTTGGGGGTTGGGGCCCACATAGTGAGAGCCAGCAAGAGGCTGCCCACAGGGAGGGCTTACAAGGAACCTGGACCAGAAAGGAGGGACACCGTGTTGTTCTGCAGGTGGGGCCCGTAGCCCCGGCACTTGCCCACTCTACGCTTGATTTCCACCTGCACCTTGGAGCTGCTCCTGGTTCCCACCCCTTGGATTGCCAGGCCCTGAGGAGGGGAGACGTGAGCCCTGTGCACACGTTAGTGAGCTCACAGTTACCTTTTTGGGGACGGGTTCTGTGCAGGTGAACATGTCTGTGGTGTCCTAAGAAAACCAAAATTACATGCCCACGTGACCATTAACCATGAGTCCAGTGCCAACTGGCTGGACCTGGCATCACTCCTCATCAGGAGAGGCTTTGGATGAATCAGCCTGGCACGGGCTGGCGAGCCAACCCACGGCCAGCCGATGGCCTGTTTCTGTAAATGAAGTTGTCTGGGAACGTGCCAGACCTGATGGGGCACCCAGGGCTCCGGCTGCTTCCTCACTCAAGCACAACTGAGTCGTCACAACCAAGATGGCCTGGCCTTAAGAGCCTGAAGTACTTTTTACCCGTCCCTTTATATTTGCTACCCCCTGCCCTAGAAGAATGACAGAGAATGCATTTCCTATCCTGAGATAGGCCAAGAAACCCTTTATAATAAGCAGGTTTCCGAACTCAGAAATCCATTTTTTGAAAGGTCAAATTTGATGATAACATTAGAACATTATGTGCGACTAAAAGTCAGCATGAAGTAGCAGACGGGGACAATGGCAAGATGGGGGAGGCGGAGAGCTCATCAATTACCGGACAGAGCTGTTGAGAAAACTGTGGAAAAGTGGGTGGTTTACCCACCCTCAGAGATGAAGAAATTGCGAGAAAGTGCGTGGATGCACACTGGGCAGATGCTGTGGTCTGTGGGTCTGCGTTGTGGGGTGCGGTACGTGAGGAAGGAGCCATGCGTGTGCTGCCGTGAGGGCCGGCGTGGAGTTGTTGCACCCTGAGGCCGCGCCCTGCTCCATGTGCCCTGCAGCTAGATCACAAGCTGACTCCAGATAGACGGGCGTGGGGGTCCATAACGGCCAAAACGCAGTCAGGTGCAGCCGCCGTGCCGGGCAGCAGAACCCATGGCTACAGGCGGGCAGCAGGCCCGAGCCCCGCTCTGCCCAGGCCCAGGGACCTGCCGGTGAGAGCCCCTGCTCTCCTGGGGCTCACGGGCCGGTGCGCAGGCAGGGAGCGTGCAGGAAGCGTCTCCCGGAGGGGACGTTTCAGAGCCCAGAGCATCAAGAGGTAAGAACAGAGTGACTCTGAAGGGTCAAGGACAGGAGGAGGGAGTTCAGTCCTCCAGGTCTAGGAGCGGAGGGGGAGATGGTGATGATGGTGGGGGTGGCATGATGAAGGCATGGCCTGGGTCCTTTTTCCTTGAAAGAAGTGGATATAATTTATACGCCATAAAATTTACCTGTTTAAAGTAGACAGTTTGTTTGTTTTTAGTATACAGTATTCATAGTTATGCAACTATTATCACTACAGTTAATTTTAGAGCATTTTCATCACCCCGAAAAGAAATTCTGTACCCATTAGCAGTCACTTCCCAGCCCCTGGCAACCACTGATCTACACTGTGCTCTGGATTTGCCTTTTCTGGAAGTTTCTTATCTGTGGAATCAAACACCCCCACCCCACAACCAGGAGGTCCTTGTGCCCCATCCTGGTGGGGACACACCAGAGTAGGTAGACTCTGTCTTTCTCTGAGAAGAGGTAAAATGCCTGGTCCCACATCAGTTCATTTTCCCGAGTTCTCTGCAAAAGTAGGATTGCTGAGAAAACGTTCTCGCTGTGACTATGGCCCACGCATGGATTTTCTTGAATTCCTCAAACTTGAGTTTGGAAGAAAAAGTGGTTCCCTTCTGTGGTTCAGTCCGGGGGGTGCTCACACTGCGTTTGGGTGTGGCTTTCTGTTTGTGTTTGGTTTGTGTCTCGTGGCGGGGTCTGGCCCTGTGGATCTGCAGAAGTCTGTGTGTCCTGGGGGGGCTGGTCACAGGTCCAGGTTCACACCCCCGTGTGGCAGTGAGTGTGTGTCACACTCCTGGGTATCCACGCAAGCCCGGTCAGCTGAGGCCTGCTGGGCTCTTGTTTAGCTGGCTTGTTTTTTCACCCGCTACAATTGAGATTTCACCTCTTCTTGAGTGATAGGCTGCTCTGTACCAGGGGATTCAGCTGGGCGTGGGGAGGGCTGGCCAGGACCAGACCTCTGCCCTCACCGCCCCTGCTCCTGGCCTGCTGTCCCCTCTCGCCCGGTCCTGTGGACGGTCCGTCGAGGCCTGCAGGTCCGTGCTGTTTCCAGAATCAGGTGGCAGTTTTCTACCAGTCTCCAGAGCGGACTTTCCTACTCCCTGTGTGTTTTTCTAAACATATATTTCATATTTTTTGACTATTTTAATGGGAGGAGCAGCCCCGACACAGCCCTTTCATATTATTAGGAACTAAAGTCCTCATAATATGTATTTTTATTTTTTAGCCTAGCCTAGTTAACATTTATCATAATATGTATTTTTAAATATTAAACAGACCTTAATTTTCTGGGATTAATCCAGACCTACATCATATATATAACCTACATATTACCTAACCTATAAGTTATTACATAACCTATATATTACCTACATCATATATATAACATGCATGGTCAGAATGAGGTTACTAATATTTTAAGATTTTTACATCTAGTTTTACAATTGAGATTGTCCTGTAATTTTTTTGTCCTGCCCATGACTGTTTTTTTTTAATCCTCATGGTACTCCTCTTTTTTATGCTAATTGTTTATTTAACATAAAAACACCATGCTCTCAGAGGAGGGTGCCCGTGCTGGGTGCCCACGCGTAGGCATCTGTCTCGGCTGTGTCTTCTGCAGGTCCTTGGTCTTGGCACGCCTCAACCCCCTGGGCATCCTGTCATCCCCTGGTGTCTGCCTTGGAGCTACCTTGTCCCCAGCTAGACACACTCGCACTTTCCAGCGCAGGTTTGGGAAGATGCTGCCTTTGGGGAAGGCATTTGCCTCCCCCAGGACGCCCCCCGAGCTGCCCACTCCGGAGTCGGCAGCCGAGGTCCAGCAGGCGGAACCCAAGACTGAGACTGTCACTGAGAGGACCCCTGCCGACCTTGAGTTCTCCCGCCTGCGCTTCCGGGAATTTGTCTACCAGGAAGCCGCCGGGCCCCACCAGACGCTGGCCCAGCTGGATGAGCTGTGCCGCCAGTGGCTGCGGCCCGAGGCGTGCTCCAAGGAGCAGATGCTGGAGCTGCTGGTGCTGGAGCAGTTCCTGGGCATCTTGCCAGACAGGGTCCGGCCCTGGGTGGTGGCGCAGTATCCTGAGAGCTGCAAGAAGGCGGCCTCCCTGGTGGAGGGCCTCGCTGATGTCCTGGATGAGCCAGGTGAGGCTGCTGCCCCAGAGGGGAGCGTGCCTTAGAGGAGGCTGGGGCGGGGTCCTGGAGGCTGGAGCCCAAACCCAGCCGTGCCTTACTTTCCTCGGCGAGTCTGCAGGTAAGAGGCTTGGTGATGAGCAGCGTCGGGCTGGTGAGGCTGCCCCTGGGTCAGCAGGGGGCCGGGCCTCCACCATCCTGTCTGATGGCATCACTTTTAGGGGCGCCTCAGGGTCCTGTGAGCTGCTTAGGTTCCTGCCCTCACATCTTCCCTATGGATGTGAGGAAGCAGGAAGAGCAGGGGAGAGCAGTCCAGGGCAGGGACCAGCTTCATGTCTAGGGCGAGTCTGAGGGATGGGGTGTTGGGCCTGGAGCCCGCCTGCTTACAGCGTGGCTGCTGCTCGTGCCCTGCCCCGTGGTCACTGCTCCCTCTTGTGGACAGGGACGCTGCTGGGCTCCCCCGCTGGGTCATCCTCGGTGCACAGCGAGGGTGTGTACGAGAGGTTCCCTGAGCCACCGCTGTTTCCAGTTGGGCCAGCGAGCCCCAGCCAGGACCTGGGACGTGGGTACCCCCCGACTCGTGAGTGACTGGCCTCCCCGCGTCTCTGGTGGCCAGGGAGGGCAGAGAGTCGGGGCCGGAACCAGGGGAGGGCAGCCGCAGGGCCTGAGCCTGTGCTGAGCTGGGATTTCTTCCTGTCCGTTTTTGTGAACACTGGTAGGATCGTTCACTAAATTCCTCAGCAGAGGCTATGCAGGTCACACGCACTCCCACACACGGTGAAAAGGCACTGCTGCGTAAGGAAGAAAGGAATCTCCCCATCCTGCCCCACTCTCTAAAAATAAAGTCCAGTGTCTCGAGTGTCTCGGCGTGTGTCCCTTAACATCTTTCTGCATGTCGCACGTGCACATGGAGGGCTTGGGCCCGGGCTCCCTGGAGCGTGGTGCGCGGCATCTGAGGCTTGCTGCTCCGGCAGCCCCTCCTGGCCCCGGGCAGAGATCTGGTTCCTTAGCTGCCCGGCGTCCCCTGCACTCGGCCTGTCCTCATCCTGGAGTTGGGATCTCTGCCCCTCGGAGCCAGGCTGCAGTCACTCGGCCTCACGCGTGTGCCTGCGGGGGGGGGGGGGTCCTCAGGGTCACCCGAGGAAGCGCATGCGACACTCATTTCCCCGCGGTGTTGCAGAAGGTTTGTGCTGTCTGCACAGAAGGGTGCCCATGTTCCCGCTGCTGTGCCAGCACCATGTGTCCTGTTGCTTTTTAAGATCTCTCCCGATCCAGCGGGTAAAAAAAGTGACTCTTCATGGCTTGAATTGGCATTCCCAGGCCGGCCCTGAGCTGGACCCCCTTCTGTCTTGGTGGCACTGCTCTGTAAAGCCAGGACAGACACAGAGTCAGCAAAGCTGGGGACCTGCCGGCACGTGAGCATGCTGTGGGGTCTCCCCAACTGTCTGGGGCCCCCCACCCACAGAGGATTCAACTCCTCAGCTCTGACTGCCCTTCTCCCAGCCTGGCCCTCCATGGAGCCCCTGCCTCCAGAGCTGGGGAGCGTCGGAGAGGCAAAGACGGAAGAGATTGACCCTGCCACAGCTGAGCTGAAGGTGAGAGGGGCGCGGGGGTCCTGGGGTGTGGGGCCAGCCTCAGCCCAGCGTGGCTCAGCGGCCTCTCCCTCCCGTGTTGACGCCGGCCCCTGCCAGGGTTACAGCCGGTCCCCGAAGTGCTGAGGCCGAGAAGCCCTCTCCAGGGCAGCGCCTGTGCTGCGTGTGGCCGGGGCTGCTCTCGTGTGCTCCGTGGGCCGCAGGGTAGTGGGTTCGCCCTCCGGTCGGGCAGGCGGCAGCCTCTGCCACCGCTGTGCTGCCCTTTCAGAAGCCAGAGTCATTTTGGGGGGAGTCCCTGCGCCAGGAGGAGTGGGGCCACCTGGACCCCGCCGAGGAGAACATGAAGAGCTACAGGAAGCTGCTCCTGTGCGGTGAGACCCGCCTGCCACCGGCTGGACCCCACCCTTCATCCCCTTCCACAGATGTTGGTGTGGGGGATTTGGACCCCCAAGGGCTTTGGTTGGGATCCTGTAGTGTTTTAAATGCATTTGAACTTGAGTGTGTTTGAACTTGCCTCATTGGCAGAGCCCTGCCCATCCTGGCCTTCGCATGTGAGTTCTGCCTGGGCCTTGGGTCTTGCGGCGCCGCCCGGGGGGCCTGAAGCCTCCAGATGTGGAAAGGCGCCCTGACCCCAAGGCCAGACACTCCTCTCTCGGGTGTAGAGACGAGGCCTCGGCCTTGGTGGCCTGGCAAAGAGCCTCCCCGCTCTTGCATAGACGCTCTTACCTCAGAAACCCTCCTTTGTAGGGAGGCCCCAGCGCAGCACCTGAGCCCTTCATGGCTGTATGTTCTCGTTACTTCAGCGTTCCTTCCCCGAGCCCCCGCACTGCCGCCTGCCCCGCCAGCCCAGCAGACCCTCCCCTCCGTCCCTGCTGCTGTGGTCTCACAACCCCCAGCTTTCCAGGGGCTCTGGCAGGGAGTGGCTTTGGTGGGGATGCCAGAGCTGCAGCCCTGGTCTCGGCCAGCCTGCGTGACACGAGGCCCACCAGCAGCTTTCTGCTCCACTGCCCCTTTTAGTTTCTTTGGTTTTTCAACCCCACTCAGGGTATCAGCTTTCCCAGCCTGCTGCTGCCTCCAGCCTGGAGACAGAGGACCTTCGGCTGGAGGAAAGAGAGTCGGCAGAAGGCAACCTCCCAGGTGAGGTTGGGCTGGGGAGCAGGGCTCGGGCCTGCAGGTGTTTTCTCTAGAAGGTGGGTCCTCATGGCTTCACAACTTAGAGTTTGCCCATCATTCTCCTGATCGTGTCCCAGAGGCAGAGGCAGGAGTCCAGTTACTTCTGCGATCTCGTGCTGTGTCACAGACTGCCCAGCACGTGGCCACCTGAAATAGCAGCAGTGTCGGTCAGGTCCTGCGTGTGGGCTGGGCCCAACTGGGAGCCATTCTGCTCTGCCGGAGGTTGCTGGGGCCCCGCACAGCCACTGGCATCTAGAGACTGGACCGGGGCCACATGGCCCCGGGTGGCCCGCCTACCCGCTGGCAGTGGGGCCAGCTCTGATGGGGCTCAGCTGAGGCTGGCGGCCGGGCCTCTCACACTGGCTTCCCAAGGAGCTAGGGGCGCTTCCCCACAGTTGGCAGCTGGGTTCTGAGAGGGCAAGTGAGCTCCAAGAGGGTAAGCACTCATCAGCCTCTACCCCTGCTGTGCCTTGTCACCTGTTGCTTGTGTCTGCTGACGTCCCATTGGGCTCGGGGGGTCTCGGAGGGCTGGGGGCCCGCCCCGGGGTCTGGTTCCTGGGAGAAGAAGTTCCCAGGAGCCACTGGTGCAGCTGGTTGGTTTACCACATGGGGCCATGGGGACCCATCTGGTCCTTTCAGTCCATGTGGCCTCCAATGCCAGAGTAATCTGGTGGCCCAGAGGGGCTGCGCCAACCCCGCATCCACAACAGGAAGCAGGAGCCCCACACACCCTGGCATCCGCTGGCCAGGCTTAGTCCCTCAGTCTCTTTAGCTGCAGAGCAGCCTGGGGTGACAGCCTTGCTGTGGGCAAGTCCAGCGTGGGCTCAGTGGACACTCGTGGAAAGCAGACTGCCTGGAGCAGGCTCCCGTCCCTCACACGGGCTTCCCTGCCTGCCCTTCCCCATGTCTGGGCCTGGGCGCGGTCAGCGCACGCTCTTGTTTCAGGCAGCAGGAAGCAGCAGGAAGACACAGGGAACAAGGGTGAGGGTGTCTTCACCTGTGAGACGCCAACGGAAAGGCTCGAGGGGCACAGTCCTGCCGAGCCCTCGGGTACCACGGAGGAGGAGGAGGGGCAGCCCCGGAAGACTCCAGATCCTCAGGAGGAGGAGTCGAGCCCTGTCTCTGGATATCAGGGGCAGTTGGCCATCCAGAAGCCAGAGGAGGAAAAGGACAAGGCCATGCCGGCACCCCCGGCCAGCCCCAAGCAGGGCCTCGGCACCAAGCGGCCCCACCCCGAAGATGTGGAGGAGCAGGGCGCCCAGCCCGGCCAGGCAAGCGGGGAGCCTGATGCTGCCGGGCGGGATCCGGGCACCTCAGCTCCTGGCTGCCCCGTGGCCGAGGAGCCCGGCGTGTCCCAGGGCAAGCCCTACACCTGCAGCGCGTGTGGGGAGGCCTTCGCGTGGATCTCGCACCTCGTGGAGCACCACGGGGGCAGCCACGAGGGCGGCCATGAGGGCAGGAAGCGCTTCGCGTGCCAGGGCTGCTGGAAAACCTTCCACTTCAGCCTGGCGCTGGCTGAGCATCAGAAGACCCACGAGAAGGAGAAAGGCTGTGCGCTGGGGGCCACCCTGGGCTCCCACCCTGCCACCCTTGAGGCCCGCACCAGTGGCAGGGCCAGTGGGCTCCCGGAGAGCGCTGAGGGCGAGGTTTGCCCTGGGCCACCGGAGGAGTCCGAGGCGCAGAGGTGAGCCTCGCGCTGCGGGGCTCTCGGTGGGCAGCCGGCTGGCGAGGAGTGGTGGCTCCCGTGGTGCCTGCTTGTTCTCAGCGAGCTCTTGTAGCTGAGGCACTCAGCACTGGGAGAGCCACGGGAAAGCCTCGCCTCCTGGTAAACACACCCTGGGCAGACGCGCATCCACATGCGTAAGAAGACTCTCCTTTCCTCTGCAGCCGTTTTAGCACCGCCCCCAGGCTAGAGCATTTGAAGTTGTGCAAAGTGTAGGGTTGCCTCAAAGTATGTGATCTACCAGTGCTTTCTTGAAGTCACCCTTGGCGATGCCTCCTGTGTGAGCTCCCCAAGGGCTGTTCACGTGGAAATCCTGTCAGCTATTTAGCCTTCTTGTAAATGCGTGATGTCAAGTTCACTTCTGAATCCGCAAAAGCAGAAACTTTCCTAGTTTAACTTACGTTTTTACCTGTGTGGAGTAGCTTACAAAGATCACAAAAATGCTTGCAGCCTAATAATGCAGGGCTTTCGGGCCCTGGGTTCCAGCCCATTATTGATTTGTGAAATCAAATTAGTGGGTGACCACCAGCATTATAAAGCAATGAAGTAAAAAAAGATAGATTTAAAGGCATCATATAGTAAAGGCAAATATTGTTTTGTGGAACTTTTCAGCTATCCATCTAAATATGAGAACTGGTTGCAATGTAAAATGTATTTCTTACTAGGGGCCTGTGATCAAGATAGTTGAAAACACTAATAAAATTCTGTCTGCCTGAGCAAAGGGAAGAAAGTAAACTCCTTGGGCTACATAAGGTGATCTTTTGATTTCTTGCATTTATTCTCAGATTACACCATTGTTCCCATTACCTGAGCATAAATTTAATTGCTTCTTGTAGATACAAAATCTGGTGTCTGTCACTGTGTTTGAGCAGGCAATCTGTTGTAAATCACAGAGGCTTAACATAATAAATATTTATTCACTCACATTGTAGTCCGTTGTCTTGTGGTAGTGGTTGCTGTTGCTTGTGTGTTGGTGGGAGAGGCATTCTACTCCATGCAGTGACCCAGGGATCCAGGAGCAGACCCTGCTGTAGCTCTGCTCTTCACTGGACCCTTGGGGCATGTGGGGAAGGCCACACCCCTTCACCTGGGAGACAATACACATCACTTCCAATTACATGTACTTGGAGAGAAATGATCCCATGGCCCTGGTCACTCCCAAGGGGCTGAGAACTGTCTACCTGGTGCCTGTCTCTGCCACAGTTACTAAGCTTAGTTCTTCTCTTAGCCTCTCTGACACCAAATCCCAAGCAGAGTGTGGCTCTGGTTTAAAAAAAAAAAAAGCCTGAATGTACCCTCTCAACTTTCATTCCCAGCCTAATCCCATGAGCTCCCCTCTCCTTCTGCCATACAGAGATTTCCCCTATGATGTGTCTCACTCTCAGCTCTCAGAACCACAGATGGATAGTTTGTTATCGTAAAGCCCAGCCCTCCATCTCTTCAGTGTCCCATCTTATGTCTTGTTTAGTGTGCACAGCTAAATGTCTGTGACCTATTTTTTGTTTATATTACTTTTAAAACTTTTATTTGGAAATAATTTCAAACTTATAAAAAAGGCACAAAAATAATAAAAATAGTACAAAGAACATCCACACATGCCTCACCCAGACCTGCCTGTTACTAACATCCCATTTGCCCATGATGTTGGGGTACACAATGTGCACTTGCCTATTTGGCAATGCTTCCTTTGCTCACCTGGTCAGAGCATTCAGTTTCTGTACTGTATATTTAACTGTTTTCCTCCTTTTAGAGACTAGGCAATCTGTGGGAAAACATCTTAAGATCATGTAAATATCCTGCTCATCAAAACTCCCTCCCTAAATTTATACTCTGTTGATGATTCTTGCCTGTCAGTCTCTACCGTGGTGGTTGCAGGGTGGTGGTGGTTTCCAAACACCAGCCCTCCCTGCACTGACTAGCTGGCCCTCATAGTTCTGCTGCCAGCCAGCACCCTTACTTCTCCCCAGGTATTTAGCCTAGGGAGAAAGAAAATAGATTGTTGTTTCTTTAAATGGGTTATAGCTTATTGCTGTTCTTGGTTATTTGTCACCCGTCACCCCACATACGGCCAACAGGAGTCCTGGGTAGCTCCTGTGTCCTTATGACATGGCTCCATTTTTTTGAGCACTTCCTTGCTTTATCATAAGGACATTCCAAGCCCATCTTGTCCTGCCCTTCCACAGCCCTGAAATCAGCCATGTCTCTAAGAACTGGTTTCTTTTAGTGGGCAATGGTATTGCAGACCAAGATCTGGGTACCAGTTGTGTTCATTGCTATTAGGGTGTCTTCTGAGTTGTGAAATATACATACATATATAAATGCATGTAGGTAAACACACAGGTGTATGTGTGCACATATGTGTGCCTGTACACATACAGTATGACCTTCAATTCCAATCTGTGACTCCTTCCATTCCATACTCTATGTCCCTTCAGCAATGAGAACCCTGGCACCCCAAAATTCATATTTACTATTTTGATAAATTCTAAAATACCTCTAAAATAGTTTTAGAATTTCGTTTCCCAAACCACTACCAAAAACAGACTGAGATTTCAAGACCACCACAGTTCTGCACAAGGTGTGGTGTGCAGGGAGTTAGCTATGCTCCCAGCAAAATCGGGTCCCTTGGCAGGATCGTTGCAAGGAATATGGAAATAATAGGAAATAGAGAATAGAGAAATAAGACACAGAGACAAAAAGTATAGTTTATAAAGGTGAGGGAGTTGGGGTCCTCCAGGATTCCCATGAGCTGTGAGGCCACGAGTGAAGTCCCACATCAGTATTTGCAGCGGTCAGTTGCCAGTGGTAAAAGATTTACATAACAACAGGTAGTTCAATTAGGTTTAAAATCTCTCCAAAAGTTTCTAGAGATCCCTCAATTAACTCTATCTATGTAAGCAAATAGTTACAAAATCTTTCTAAGATAAACTTCTAAGATAAAACTATCACTTAGCAGAAAGGCTAAACAGAAATATAGAGCCTCTCTATTTTTTTAGTTTCTTGTTGATTGAGACAAGTAGTCAGGAGTGAAGCAGGAACTGTCCCTTAGGCCAATTGTCTCTAGCTGCAGGTGTCTGTCAGATGGGCATTCTTTGATCAGTTCTCAACCTATGACCACACACTGAGCCTTGTCTTACAGAGGCATCAAGCACAAGCAGCGTTCAGGTCTGAGACAACATCTCCATACAAAACCCTCCCGGATCTGTGAGAAGCCCTCCCGAGGCGAGGCAGCTTTTAATCTGTGAAATAACATGTTCACATATTCCTTCAAGGCAAGGCCCTGCAAAACTCCTGAAATCTTTATGTCTCTTTATAGGCCAACAGTGGTAAAGAACACAAATGGATGACTTATTCTAGAGAGAAGCAAAATACAGCTAACTATTCCCAATGGTTAACCTCAGGGAAGGCTGGGCTGGTTCAGGCATCAGAGACAGTGGGTCTGTCCTAAAGGTCTCAACTCCCATACAAAGGTGCAGTGACTTGGACCATCAAGAAAGATGCAGCTGATGGAAGGCACAAGAATGTGGCCTAGATTTCTCTAATGGAGTTGGGAGTCTGGAAAGTATAGACCACAGGCTGCTGAGCTGGGACTCAAAAGGACACGGGCTATCTGGAGGGCAAGTGGAAGCCCTAGGTGGACTGGCACTGAGAATGGGCAGAGTTCATGGCTGGATCATACAGGGTGTGAGAAGGGAGATGTGTTCAAAGGTGCAGGGAATGGAAATCATTTCCATCATTGCAATGTCTCTGAGGATGCCTGAGGAGTCTGTTGTGTATGAAGGCTTATGTATGAATATGTGTTGTTTCTCGTGAGTACAACTGGGTCAAGTCTAGGAATAGATGAGCTATGGCTTAAGGCTTCCTTATGTCCCCAGCACACATGTAGTGGGTCTACTCATGTGAGTTCTCTGGTGCTTGGTAAGGGAGGAGCTGTGTGTAAAGGCCTTCCCACAGTCCCTGCACTCATACGGCTTCTCTCCTGTGTGGATCCTCCGGTGCTGAGTGAGGTGGGTGCTCTGCCTGAATGACTTTCTGCAATCCTGACATTCGTAGGGCTTTTCCCCAGTGTGTGTCCTTTCATGCTGGCTAAGTGAAGAGCTGTGACTGAAGCATTTCCCACACTCATTGCACCCATAGGGCTTTTCCTTGGTGTGAATCCTCTGGTGTTCAATGAGAAGGGAGCTCTGGCTGAAGGCTCTGCTGCACTCATTACATGCATAGGGCTTCTCTCCTGTGTGGATCCTTTGGTGTTGAATGAGGGGAGCAAGCTGGCTGAAGGCTCTGCCACATTCATTACATTCATAGGGCTTCTCCCCAGTGTGGATTCGCTGATGTTTGGTTAAGGATGAGCTGTGGCTGAAGGCCTTGCCGCAGTCGCTGCACTCATAGGGTTTCTCCCCTGTATGGATCCTCTGATGCTGAGTGAGGTGCGTGCTCTGCCGGAAGGCCTTCCCACACTGACTGCACTCATAGGGCTTCTCGCCTGTATGAGTCCGCTCATGCTGGTTGAGTGAGGAGCTATGACTGAAGGTTTTCCCACACTCGTTGCATCCATAGGGCTTCTCTCCGGTGTGAATCCTCCGGTGCTCAGTCAGGAGTGTGCTCTGGCTGAAGGCTTTTCCACAATCGTTGCACTCATAGGGCTTCTCTCCTGTATGGGTCCTTTGATGCTGAATTAGTGGTGTAATCTGGGTGAAGGCTTTTCCACACTCATGGCACTCGTAGGGTTTCTCCCCAGTGTGGATTCGCTGATGTTTGGTTAAAGACGAGCTGTGGCTGAAGGCTTTGCCACACTCTCCACACTGATATGGTTTCTCCCCCGTGTGGATTCGCAGGTGCTGGGTGAGGTGGATACTCTGGCGGAAGGCTTTCCCACACTCACTACACTCATAGGGCTTCTCACCTGTGTGAGTCCGCTCATGTTGACTAAAGGAGGACCTAAAACTGAAAGATTTCCCACATTCACTACATTCGTAGGGTTTCTCACCCGTGTGAGTTCTCTGGTGCTGGATCAGTGGGGCAATTTGGTTGAAGGTCTTCCCACACTGAGTGCATTTATAGGGTTTCTCCCCAGTATGGATTCTCTGGTGTTTGGTAAGTGCTGAGCTGTTTCGGAAGGCTTTTCCACATTCATGACATTCATACGGTCTCTCTCCTGTGTGCGTTCGGTGGTGTTCAACAAGTGCTGAGCTGTGACTAAAGGCCTTTCCACATTCCTGACATTTGTAAGGTTTCTCTTTTGCATAGGTTTTCTGTAGAGCATTCAACTTTGAGTCTGGCTTCTCCATCTTTCTGTGTGTTCCCCATGTGTGGGGACCACACCTTTTAGGAGTCACTGGTTGAGTTGTGAGATTGAGGCTCAGACTCAAGTCTTCCCCAAACCCATTCCCTTGCCACTGCTCCTGAGTTAGTGTGTCCTCAGACGTGAAGGCCACCTTCACCACACAGCTCTCTAGGCACTCATGACTCCATTCCCAGCAGCCCTTGTTGTCCTCACCCTTGCAGTACCACAGACCATTCCACAGGAATCTTTCTACCAAGCTAACACTGGTCAATTCTTCTTCAGAGATGCCTTGCTTTGGAGCTGACAGTTTGACTTTCGGTCTAGTTTCCAAGTCTGAAAGAAACAAAAATTGAAATGTCCCTTAATAATCCCTGTTGTGGAGGAAAAGAGTTTGTGGTGGGTGCAGAGATCATAATTTTGAAAGGTTCAAGGTACAAGTGGCTTTGACCATTTAAAAATGCAATTTTGCAGCCAGGTGCAGTGGTTCACACCTGTAATCCTAGCACTTTGGGAGGGAAAGGTGGGAAGATTGCTTGAGATCAGGAGTTCAAGACCAGCCTAAGCAACACGCAAGACCTTGTCTCTACAAAGGAATAAAGAAAATTAGCCAAGTGTGGTGGTACATGCCTGTAGTACCAGCTACTTGGAAAGCTGAGGCAGGGGATCACTTGAGCCCAAGAGTTTGAGCTTGCAGTGAGCTATGATGATACCACCACATTCTAGCTGGGGTGAGTGAGACCCTGTTTCAAAAAAAACAAAAACAAACAAACAAACAAAATCTATGCAGCTTTGCAAACCAGGAAAGGAACAGAAGAGTGAAAGGAAAAACAGACTTAAAATGAGGGGCTGGCAAGAGGGCCATGGTTAGAGTCTAAAGGGAAGCACAGAGAAGGGTGGAAAAGGGTGCTGAGGAGAGCACTGAGGTCCACAGAGGCACTGGGCCTAGAAGGAGCGGTGCAACGGCCAGGTGACAATGGAGGAAAGGCTGCCACACGGGGAAGGATGCTAAGTCCAGCCCTATCACTGCCATGGCCCAGTTTCTTCTTGGTGGCTTAATGCTGTTGTACCACCTCACCCCAGATGTAAAGAAACCCATCTGCTCCCCTAGACCAGAAACAGCTGCAATGTCCATCACTAGGAGGATGATAAATGACCTGTGGTGTGTCAGAGTATGTTGATCTGCCTAATTTTGTCTGTCTCACTAACTGGGATCACCTGGAGGGCAGGGGGTTCAGCCACCAAGCTCACAGCAAGAGCTCAATAGACATACCATATGAACGAACTAATTTATTCCCTCCTCCTCTTTTCTAGCAGGAATGCTCTGGTACCCAGGCCCCTCTGCATAGCCCTGGCCATAGTATATGGCATCCACACCGAGATACTAAATTGGCCTAGCAGTGTGACATGGGCACCTAACCCATATTATGTTATGCTCCAGTGAAAAGTTTAAAAAAAAAAAAAAAGGTGATAGGCAGACTGCCAAGTGTGATAGGCAGAATAGTGGCTCCCAAAGACATCCACACTCTAAAACCCAGACATGTGAATATGTTACTTTATATGGCAGGAAGGAATTAGAATTGCTAATCATCTGACTTTAAGATACATTATCCTGGATTACCTGGGTAGGCTAATATAATCAATCATAAGGGTTTTTAAATGTGGAAGAGAAGCTGGGCGCGGTGGCTCACGCCTGTAATCCTAGCACTCTGGGAGGCCGAGGCCAACGGATTGCTCGAGGTCAGGAGTTCGAAACCAGCCTGAGCAAGAGTGAGACCCCGTCTCTACTATAAATAGAAAGAAATTAATTGGCCAACTAATATATATAGAAAAAATGAGCCGGGCATGGTGGTGCATGCCTGTAGTCCCAGTTACTTGGGAGGCTGAGGCAGTAGGATTGCTTGAGCGCAGGAGTTTGAGGTTGCTGTGAGCTAGGCTGATGCCATGGCACTCACTCTAGCCTGGGCAACAAAGTGAAACTCTGTCTCAAAATAAATAGATGTGGAAGAGAGGCAGAAGGGTCAGAGTTAGAGTGAATATGATGTGAGATTTGACTAGCCATTGATGACCGTGAAGATGGACAAGGCCATAAACCAAGGAATATGGGCAGCCCCTAGAAGTTGGAAAATGCAAAATAATGGATTCTTCTCTAGAGCCTTCAGAAGGAATAATTCCTTGCTGACATCTTGATTATAGCCCAGTGAGACCTATTTTGTACTTCTGATCTCCAGAACTGTAAAATAATTTGCTTTGCTTTAAGCTACTAAGTTTGTAGTACAGCTAACCTTTGAACAATGCAGGGATTAGTGGCGCCAACCCCCTGTGCAGTCGAAAATCTGCATATAACTTTTGATTTCCTAAAACCTTAATTATTAATAGCTTACGGTTGACTACACTGATAACATAAACAATTAACACATATTTTGTATGTTATATGCATTATACACTGTACTTTTTTTTTTTTTTTTTTTTTTTGAGACAGGGTCTCACTTGTCTTTCAGGTTGGAGTGCTCACAGCAACCTCAAACTCCTGAGCTCAAATCATCTTCCTACCTCAGCCTCCCAAATAGCTGAGACTACAAGCATGCTACCACAGCCAGCTAATTTTTCTACTTTCATAGAGATGGGGTCTCATTCTTGCTCAGGCTGGTCTCAAATTCCTAGCCTCAATCAATCCTCCCGCCTTGGCCTCCCAAAATGCTAGGATTACAGGCATGAGCCACTACACCTGGTCTATATACTGTGCTCTTTACATCAAAGTAAGCAAGAAAAAAGAAAATATTATTAAGAAAATCATAAGGAAGAGAAAATGTTACTATTCACTATTCATTAAGTGGAAGTGGATCATTATAAAGATCTTCATCATCACCTTCACACAGAGTTGGCTGAGGAGGAGGAAGAGGAGAGATTGGTTTTGATGTCTCAGAGGTGGAAGAAGATGCATGTAGAAGTGGACCTGCACCATTCAAACCCATGTTGTTCAAGGGTCAACTGTAATTTGTCACAGCAGGAGCAACAGGAAGCTAACAAAACTGGATAAGGGCCAGTTGTCAGTGAGGCTGAAGGACCCTATTGTGACCCCCTTCCATGCTGGCCATTCCTCTCGGACCCTGGAGATGGGCACTGTTCAAAACTGGGAAATTGCCTGTTAGAGGGCTAGGATACCCCCAATTCCTATAGAGTTGCCTGCTGATCCCAGGAGCTGGACAAGGGGCATGAAGAACAGAACCACCCAGTCATCCTGCAAGCACATGGCAGAGCCCAGCCTGGAGCCACCAACCCACAGATGCACAAGTCATAAATGATTCTTTGGTTTCACCACTGAGATTGGGGAGGCTTGTTACACAATAAAACCTGACTAATGCATCACCTCAGAGCCTTTGTCCTTGCTGCTCCTCTGCCTGGAATACTGTTCTCTCAGACTGTTTCATGGCTCAGGCTTCGGGTCACATGTCACCTCGATGGAGAGGATATCCCTCATCTCTCTAAAGTCTCCCCATGCCCATCCTAGTCTCTACCTCATCTCCTCATTATTCATTGCTACTATTATTTTTTCTATTTATTGTTTGTCTCCCCCTCCCTAACCTGTAAATTCAGTGAAGATGGGGACTTGGTCTCATTCACAGCAAAATGAGTGCTTGATGAACCTTCTCTAAGACTGAGGAGTCAACTGGCTATGAAGAATTAGAGAGCAGATACAGAGTAACCTGGAGGCGAGGTTTCTACAGCCCTGGATGGGCTTTTTTCAGTCCTGCAGGGCTCCCATCTCACCTGGGCACATGCCTTGGGGAACTCCAGAGTCTACTGCCCACGGCTTTGCCTCTTGCACCAGCAGGGAGATGACGTCTGGATTCGGAAACCAATGTCCTGCTCACAGAGAGACCCATGGAGTGAGCTTTTGTGTCACAGGACCCTCCCTATCCCTCTGCCCACTCCACCTCTGGTCTTCCAAGTCCCAAGTGGCTGGGGTCCCGAGTGGCCACAGTTGTCAATGTAACAGCCTCTGATGCTCCTCAAGGACTCCATTCTCCCACTCTCAGTCCTTGATCCCACCCTAGTTCTGGGATGGACGTATGACCCAGGCATGGCCAATCAGAGCTCTGCTTCCTCCTCTGCCCACTGGCAACGATGACCACTATGAAGGGGACCTGGCAGCCAAACCCAGACAATCCAGGAGCCTTTGATAGATGCCTAGGACACAGATCCTGTCCTTTCTGCTAGTTTTGGACCCAGGAAAGGCACACTGGCAGCTGTCTTGTCACCTCCAGTGGGACCTATCTGGAAATGGAGCCAGAAAGAGGTTATTATGGTCTTAATGTTGGTGTCCCCCTAAAATTCATGTTAGAACCTAATGCCCAGTGTGATACTGTTAACTGGGGGGGGGGGGCCTCGGGGAATGATTGAGTCATGAGGGCTCTACCCTCATGAATGGGATCAGACTCCTTATAAAAGGGGCTTAAGGAAGCTCACTTGGCCCTTCCACCAGGGAGGATGCAGCTATAAGGCACCATTAATGGCGAATGGGCCCTCACCAGACACTGAATTTGCTGATGCCTTGACCTCAGACTTTCCAGCATCCAGAACTGTGAGCAATACATTTATATTGTTTATAAATTACCCAGTCTAAGATATTTTGTTATAGCAGCCCAAATGGACTAAGACAAAAGTACAGAGGGAAGTGCTAAAGAAGGAGGGTCTCCTGACACATTGTAGGAAAACACATATCTAGTTTGTGTCTAGACCCAGTATGTCTCCCTCACCTCATATTTCTCTGCTTCTAGTATTTTCAGATTGGGTCTGTGACATGCTAATATTGGTCCTACTTGATATTCCCTACACTAAAACATTCAGGTTCCTGAAGCCCAAGACATAGCCCAGGTATTTGCTTTTAAGGCCCAACTCTACTGCCATTTTAAACCCAGGAGAATTAGTATCCATGCTGGAGCAGACCATCAGGGACATGGGAGAAGGCTTACCCACAGAGACTAGGAGCCTGAAGGTCTCCAGCATCACATCACAGTACAGGGTCCTTTGGGCAGGCTTCAGCTGTCCCCACTCCTCCCAGGTGAAGTCCACGACCACATCCTCAAAGGTCACTTGCTCCTGCAACATCACACGTGAGTGCCACCCCCCAAGCCAAGCCTGGTGCTGGCTGCTAGTGGGGGAGGGAAGCCAGGCTGAGTGGGATAGAGTTCTCTGTGGTCTGGGGATTTGGGTCAGGTTTTCCCAAAAGTTAGTATCTTAAAACAAAATCCATTTATAATCTCTTAGTTCTTAGGTCAGAACTCCAACACAGAGTGACTAGGTTCTCTGCTCAGGGTCTCATAGAGCTAAAATCCTGACTGCCTTCTCATCTGGAGGCTCTGGGGAAAAATCTACTTCCAGCTTATTCTTTTTGTTGACAGAAATCAATTCCTTGAGCCTGGAGAACTGAGGTCCCATTTTCCAGCTAGCTGTTAGCCAGTGGTCACTCTAGCTCCTAGAAGCCACCCCCCCTTCATTGACAGCTCACAACCTGGGTATTTGCTTTCTTCTGAGACAGCCAGAATACATTTCTCTGACTGTCTCTTCTGCAACCATCAAGGAAAAACTCTGCTTTTAAAGTGTTCATGTCATTAGGTCAGGTGCATCCAGGTAATCTCCCTTCCTTCAGGTCAATCATGTTATACGGTATGATCTAGTCATAGGGGTGCTATCTTATATTAACCAACTCTGGGGATTAGTGCAGGCATGGGGGGGGCAGGAAACCCTGGAGGCCATCTAAGAATTCTGCTTGTCTCATTTTGCCCTCAATAAGAGTTCATATATACAATTAAATAAAAATCCATATGGTACAAAAAATACCATAAACAAATCTGAAGAATAGATGGCCAACCAGGAAATGTATGTACAATATGTGATGTACTTGGTACAATAATTTCATTCCTTTCTAAGAGGTGGGGGTCTCCCTGCCATGTTTCCCCAAAAATAAGACAGGGTCTTATATTTATTTTTCCTCAAGAAGACGCCCTAGGGGTTATTTTCAGGGGGTGTTTTTTTTTTTTTTTTAAGTACAGTACAACAATCTACATTTATTCAAATATAGTTAAGTCGTCTTCTTCTGGAACATCATCATAACTCTTCAAACCCCAAATGCCATCCTGAATTTCTTACGACTCTATTTCCTTTAGAACCCTTAGCCCCGATCTCTCACATCAAGCTAGAGTTCTCATGGGGCAGATGAGAAGGGCTGCTTGTGTTCTTTCACGCTCCGGGATGAAATGCATGGGTTGTGCAGATAAGCTGCATGGCCACACCCATCACTAGGTCTTATTTTCAGGGTGGGGCTTATATTGTGCAAATGCTTTAAATTTCTGCTAGGGCTTATTTTATGGGTAGGTCTTCTTTTCACAGAAACACAGTATGTTGCCCAGGCTGGAATGCAGTGGCCGGATCATAACTCATTGCAGCCCCCAAGGCTTGGCCTCAAGTGATCCTTCTGCCTTGGCCTCCTGAGTGCCTGGGACTGCAGGCAGCATTTTTATTTTTTTTATTTTTAGAGACAGAGTCTCATTTTGTTGCCCAGGCTAGAGTGAGTGCTGTGGCGTCAGCCTAGCTCACAGCAACCTCAAACGCCTGGGCTCAAGCAATCCTACTGCTTCAGCCTCCAGAAGCTGGGACTACAGGCATGCACCACCATGCTCGCATGATTTTTTCTATATATATTAGTTGGCCAATTAATTTCTTTCTATTTATAGTAGAGACGGGGTCTTGCTCTTGCTCAGGCTGGTTTTGAACTCCTGACCTTGAGCCATCCGCCTGCCTCGGCCTCCCAGAGTGCTAGGATTAAAGGCGTGAGCCACCACGCCTGGCCCAGGCAGCATTTTTAAATAATTTGTAGAGATCCCACCTCAGTCTTTCAAAGTACTAGGATGACAGGAGTTAGCCACCACACCCAGCCTATGCATGATCCTTTTGAGGATGTGCACATGTCCCACCATGGCTGGTTTCTTCTGGGGGCCTGGGGAAGGGCCTCCAGTCTGGTTAAGAAGAGGCGACTGCGCCCACTGCCCTATGGAACTCAGGGCACCACCTTGGACCCACCGGGCCTGCTGGCACCTTTGATTTGGGCTTCAGACCTACAGAACCGTGAGTCAATCTATACTCATTTAACATTACCCACCGGCCTCAGGCAAGTGTAAGAGCGGCATAAAACCCACCCGGACAGGGATCAGCGCTGGCTGTCTTCCACTGCGGCCCGGAGAGCCTGCGAGGCCAGAACGCACGCATGCACCCACAGAGGCCTGGCGGGGCCACGCTGTCATCGCCTCCCGTAGCTTCAGTGGCTTCAGGCTGAACGTCAGCTTCCTTCTGGCAGGAAAGGGTGCAGAGGAGGCTGGGTCAGGAGCGCCTCACCCCGCCTGCCAGACCAGGCCAGGTGAAGGATGAGCTTTTCCTGTGGGTGCCTCAGTTTCCTCTCCCATAAAACAAGGTAGGGTTAGGGTTAGGGCTAGGTCTGCGGCGTCTCGGGGCACAATGCGGGTGTTCCTGGGGGCCAGTGCACACGGCGACGACTGCTCTCCGGGGCCGGGGGTGGGGGACCCTCCCTCAGTGAACGCCTGCTCAGCGTCAGGCCCCGGGGCACCCGACACCCACACCTTCGCCCACACCCGCGCTCCGGCTGGGGCAGGGAGGCGGGCCGCCTGCGAGGCCCCGCCCCCTGTCGCTCAAGCCGGGTCCCCGGCCCCGCCCCCCGAGACCCCAACACCAGAGGACCAACCCCAGGCCCCGCCCCCTTCCCGCGACACTCCCCAGGCCCAAAGCGGCGAGAGGGTTCGACACAGACCGTGGATGCGAGGGTCCCGGACCTCTGCGGGGCCCGACCTTCCGCGCCTCACTCACCCGCCGGATGGCGACACAAAGGCCGCGACGCCTTCGGCCGCCACTGCGCCTGCGTCGGACTGCATCTCCCAGAGGGCCACGCGCATTTCCGGTAGCTCCGCCCGCCCCGCGCGCCCTGGGGTGAGGGCTCGGGCCCTGCTCTGTGGGCGCGTCGGCTCCCCGCGCTCGCTGAGGAGGGGTCTGTAGACGTGGGCCCCGCGCTTCGGGAGTGGGGTCGAACAGGGGGCCTCTGAGCCCGGGCGGCCAGGAGAGGCGAGGCTCTTTGCGCGCAGAGGAGGCCCGGGTAGGAAGGGCTTCTGCGAGATTGAAGAGGGGCCCAGAGGCTGGGGAAGAGGATGCTGGAGGCCCTGAGTCCCCCGCATAACAACAGTGGTTCCCTGAAAAGATGGGGTCTTATATTTATTCTTCCTCAACAAGACACCCTAGGGCTTATTTTCAATTTATTCAAATATAGTTAAGTCGCCTTCTTCTGGACCATCATCACTCTCCAAACCCCAAATTCCATCCTGATTTCTTGCAACTCTATTTCCTTTAGAACCATCGGCCCCAACCTCTCACGTGGAGCCGCAGAGCTCTCACGGGAGGATGAGAAGGGCTGCTCACCTTCTTTCCCGCTCTGCGACGACATGCATGGGCTGTGCAGATAGCTGCATGGCCACACCCGTCACTAGGGCTCATTTTCGGGTTGGGGCTTCTGTTGTAAATGCTTAGACGTCCTGCTAGGGCTTATTTTATGGGTAGGTCTTATTTTCAGGGAAACACGGTATTAAAGAAATGTAATACACCTGAAGCACCTGGGCTGTGCTGGTGGAAGTGAAAGCTGTAGCCTTTTGCCCTGGGGGCCTGGTGGCCCTGTCATTGCTGTACTCAGATCCCACGCACAGAGAGGCAAGTGGCTGCCTGCAAACGGGACTACCAGGACTGTGTCAGGTTTATATCCAATGAGAGGAAGCAAAAGAAAATGTAGCTGCCAGGCCGAAAGTAGTGGCTCATGCTTGTAATCCTAGCACTCTGGGAGGCCAAGGTGGGTGGATTACTGGAGTTCACGCCTATAATCCTAGCACTCTCGGAGGCTGAGGTGGGCAGATTGCTCGAGGTCAGAAGTTTGAAACCAGCCTGAGCGAGACGCCGTCTCTACCAAAAATAGAAAGAAATTAATTGACCAACTAAAAATATATATACAAAAAATTAGCCAGGCATGGTGGTGCATGCCTGTAGTTCCAGCTACTCAGGAGGCTGAGGCAGGAGAATCGCCAGAGCCCAGGAGTTTGAGGTTGCTGTGAGCTAGGCCGATGCCACGGCACTCACTCTAGCCTAGGCAACAAAGTGAGACTCTGTCTCAAAAAAAAAAAAAAAAAGAAAAAAAAAATGTAGCTGCCTAGAAATATCAGCCATTGGGCGGGCGCAGTGGCTCACTCCTGTAATCCTAGCACTCCTGGAGGCCAAGGTGGGCGGATTGTTTGAGCTCAGGAGTTCCGAGACCAGCCTGAGCAATAGCGAGACCTCATCTCTACTAAAAATAGAAATTAGCTGGACAACTAAAAACATATATAGAAAAAATTAGCCGGGCATGGTGGTGCATGCCTGTAGTCCCAGCTACTAGGGAGGCCAAGGCAGGAGGATCACTTGAGCCCAGGAGTTTGAGGTTGCTGTGAGCTAGGCTGACACCACAGCACTCTAGCCTGGGCAACAGAGTGAGACTCTGTCTCAAAAATAAATAAATAAATGTGTGCTGGAACATTCCCTCAGAGGGATGCGGTCCAGAAGCAAGACTGGGTGGGGCAGGTCCTAGGCAGTGTAAAGGGACAAAGTGAGGGTGGGATCACAGGCTCAGGATGCCACTCATGGAAGCTGCAGGATGTGGGAACCAGAGCCACGTACTGCTACAAGTCCCAAGAGGGAAAATCGCAGACACACACGTGCAGCGAGAAGCTCAAGGTGGAGGCCACTTCTGGGCTGTGTGGCAGGAGATGGGGGGGGGGGCGGACGAGTCCCTCAGGACAGGAGACCAAATTGTTGAGCCAGCTCCACAGTGTGTTCTTTATTTAAAAACAACCCAAAGCCAGCTTTGCAGGGGCTGGGCTCTGGTGGGCTTGGTGGCAGTCCAGGGTGCTCATTGTGTATTTACTATACTGTTTCATAGGCTCAAAAGATGTCGTATGAAAAGCAAACCACCACTTTGGAAGACATAAGTCTCAGGGCACCCTTGCTCAAAAATGATAGAGCACTGCAAGACAGCAGAGCTAGTGAGGGTCCTTCAGGGCTCAGGTGGACCACGGAGGGCCTCAAACAAATGCTCTTTGGACCTTTGCCCCAGGAACAGTAAGTTCAAAGACCCAGTTTATCCAGATTTTTCTGCCTTCAAGTTTTTTTTTTTTGTTTTGTTTTTTGTTTTTTGGGATAGAGTCTCACTCTGTTGCCCCGGCTAGAGTGCTGTGGCATCAGCCTGACTCACAGCAACATCAAACTCCTTCTGCCTCATCCTCCCAAGCAGCTGGGACTACAAGCATGCACCACCATGCCCAGCTAATTTTTTCTATATATTTTTAGTTGGCCAATTAATTTCCTTCTATTTTTAGTAGAGACGGGGTCTCGCTCTTGCTCAGGCTGGTTTTGAACTCCTGACCTCAAGCAATCCGCCTGCCTTGGCCTACCAGAGTGCTAGGATTACAGGCGTGAGCCACTGCGCTTGGCCTACCTTCAAGCCCTTTAAGGGCTACCCCCCGGCCTCTGCAAAGCGTGACTGGAGAGCTCTTCCAAGCGCGTCCCTGTCGGCCCTCTGTGACCCGGCCAGCCTTAGAGTGGGAGGTGAGGGTGGTCTGTCCTCCCTTCTCCAGCCCCCTTTCTCTGGGCTAAGGGACCTCTGACGCCTGTACACAAAAGGGCCTTTCTCACCCCCGGCCTGCAGCACCCACACCGGGTGGCCCCTTCCCTCTCCCCACATATCCACTGAGACTCGCTGGGGGAGCCGTTCCTATGCCACGCTGCCATGGCGGGCTCTTGCCATCCATACTTGCTTCTTTAGGCCTCCCAGGATCCAATTCCTGACATTACTAGGAAAGAGAGAGCCCTGTTCTGTGGGACTGAGCCCTGAGTGGATGAAGTCTCCACATGGGGACACAGGGCCAGGAACACAGGAGGAAGCTCTCGGAGTAAAAGGCAGAGGAGGAGAACAAACACTGGATCCCTGGGCTCCCCAAGCAGGGAGGTCCCACCTGCCATGGTGCAGACCTGTCTCTAACCACAAACAGCCAGTCAAGTCTGTCGGATGGGGTCTGTGATTCCTAAGAGTTCCCTGCGGTGCTGTGGCAGGGAGCGGGTAGCTGCCTGGTGTCCTTCCTGGGAGAGTGGACAGTGAGGAGACAGCGGACACAAAAGATGGGCACATGAAAAATGGAGGGATCTTTATAATCACTGAGCGAGAAACTGCAGGCAGATGAGGTGTACAGCACAATGACATTTATGCGTTAAAAATTAAAAACACAGGTGAGGGGCAGGTCAAAGAGGTTTGATGGGATCGGATGCTGCTGGTCAGGAGGGGCTGGAGCAGTGCAGGGGAAGAGAAGAGATCCATCTCCAGACGTCAGTGGCCCTACTGCCCTGGCACCTGGTGGCTGGTCCACTGAGCCCTCGGGCTCATCTGTGTGGTCTTCCACCAGGCTGGCGGCCTCCGTGCAGGTGGGGGGGCCCTGCGACTGCACCCAGGTCCTCATCTTGCTGGGCAGTGCACCCAGGAACTGCTCCAGCACCAGCAGCTCCAGCACCTGCTCCTTGGAGCCCACCTTGGGCCATAGCCACGGGCAGCACAGCGCCCAGAGATGGCCCTGTGGCCACGTGGTACTGGAAGTGCCAGAAGCGCAAGCACTGGGCCTCAGTGTCCTTGAGGCTGGCAGGCCCAAGGGCCTCATCCCAGCCACTTGGGGCTGGGGACTGGGGGCCACTAGGGAAGGTGGAGGCTTTGGCCAGTGGGAGCATTTCTCTGGCCACACGACCCCTCCGAGAGGGTGTGCAGGGGATGCTAGATCCTGGGACAGAACCAGTGGGTCTGGACAGAGCCAGGCACGGCAGCCAGGCAGTCAGTAGTCAGGGGCCTACAGAGAAGGGCAGGGACAGAGAGGCCACATCAGAAGGCAGATCCTCCTCAGCTCCCCACCTCCATGCCCTGCCCTCCAGCATCTCAAACAACTGACCCAACCTCTCCCCAACTCATTTTGACCTAGTCTTCCACATGCCCCTCATGGGCTACTTTGTGCTGAGCTCCAGCCACTGGCTGCCCCATGGCCTTTGTGCCTGCTGCATTAGCCCAGCTCCTCCCCTCTGCTTGTTCCAGCTCAGATGTCCTGAACTGCATCCTCAGTGCTCTCCTCACAACCCCCCTCCCTTCCTGAACACATCTTTTTTCCCTACTTGGTTTAGTACTGTTCTTTCTTTTTTTTTGAGACAGAGTCTTACTTTGTTGCCCAGGCTAGAGTGAGTGCCGTGGTGTCAGCCTCCTCAGCAACCTCAAACTCCTGGGCTCAAGCGATCCTCCTGCCTCAGCCTCCGGAGTAGCTGGGACTACAGGCATGCGCCACCGTGCCCGGCTAATTTTTTCTATATATATTTTTAGTTGGCCAATTAATTTCTTTCTATTTTTAGTAGAGACGGGGTCTCGCTCTTGCTGAGGCTGGTTTTGAACTCCTGACCTTGAATGATCCTCCTGCCTGGGCCTCCCAGAGTGCTAGGATTACAGGCGTGAGCCACCACGCCCGGCCCCTACTTGGTTTAGTATTTACCTCCCTCTCAGTTAGTCATTCAACACACATCTACTAAAGAGCCCAAGGAACAGAATTCCAGCCCATATATGGTGGCCAGCGCTGTCCAAAGGAACCTCCTAAAGATAGAAATGTTTTCTACCCATGCTGTCCAATTCAGTAGCCACCAGCCACACATAGCTAGAGAACTTGAAATAAGGGACTGAATTTTAAATTTAAATTCCATTTAGATGGAAACAGCCAGATGTGCCACACAATAATGGATTGCCCAGCAGAGGCCTCCTGCCTTCTCAGGGGTAGTATCTTTGCAGTCTCCCTGACCTTTCCTACCAGTCCAGGCTTGGGGGGCGGGGGGGTGGAGAGGGCAAGGAGTACTGAGAGCTAGACTGTGAAAGCAGAGGGAGAGTGGAAAGGGCAGTGAAAAGACAAACCTTTGTGAATTTCCTGAGCTCTTGTGGACATATAACTGAACAAAAGATTGAAAGGAAAATAAAAATAAGCAGCAAGGTTTTTTGTCGTCTAACAACTGTACTCTGTGCTGATCCACTGCTAAGAGTGTTCACTGGCACAGCCTTTCTGGAAAGCACTGTGGCAGCTTGTATATCAAAAACATTCCAGAAGTTTGCATGCCAGGTTTAGGCACCAAAAATCACTACAAAAGTACCCAACAGTTGAGCTTGGTGGGATCAATTACTCTTCCCCCATCATGTGATGGGAGTATTCAACTATGCGAAATGTACAGTGACATCATAACATCAAAGGAAGTATATATGTGATGTATGGATGACATGAGGAGTAGGAAAGTGGGATGCAAAATGATGGGAGTGTCTGGAAAGGGACTGCTGGGAAAGATGCCCACAGGTGGGCAGCCAAGTGCTTTGTGTTCTTCATACTTTTCTGAATCTCCTCCAAATGGCGTCCTGATCATGTGAGACCTTCAGCAGCGTGGAGAAACAAAACAAAACAAGCAATGTTTAGGAAGGATTTTTGACGTAATTGTAAATGCTTATGACATCAAAAGTGAAAAAGAGGGGTTTCCATGTGATTCTTCCTTCTCCATCCTCTGGTGCATTTTTCGTAAGTTTTACAATTCAGGAGAAAGGAGAGGGCAGGGAGGCAGAAAGGGCAACTCACCAGGACTGTGCCCCGCTGGTAATCTTCAAGCCTGCTTACCTCACCACCTGTATGCTGACTGACAGTTTACAAGCTTGGTCATCCCTGCCTAGGCCACAGGCAGAAACACTCTCTTATGCTGTATTAACACTTTTATATATGTATTTTTGAAAAAAGAGAAAGGGCCCAATTCAGGGCCCCACAGGTTCAAGCAGTTCTCTGTGCCCCGGGGTCTGAGACCTTATTCCGTCAGATGCTCAGGGAGTTAGATCCTGCAGATTCCAGGGAGGAGTGCTGCAGGCCCTCAGCACAGCGAGGAGAGGCTAAAGCTTATGGGGACTAGAGTCAAGTGGCACTCTTAGCTGAAGGCACCAGGGGTCTATGGGGTTGCTGGCATCTTTGTGTGGGAACCCTGGACCAGTGGCAGGGTGCCTGGGTTGGAACGGTCTTGGAATGATGGTTGGCAAGGGGCTTGGGATAATCAGGAGGGTGGGCCAAGGTCTATGTAACTAGTGAGGAGGATCTGGGGGCCCCTAGGTCCTAGAGACCTATTTTTGGAGGCACCTGGGATTGATGGGAGAGGGGTGTCTGAGTGTCACTTGGACAGCTCAATGTCATGTGGAAGAGCCAAGTTCACCCGGGAGGTGGGCACTGAGATCTGAAGCCCAGGCCCCAAATTCTATTGGTGGCAGGGGCAACACTGGATACCTAGTGAGATGGTAGACAAATTGATTGCAGGAATAAGTGAATGGATCTGAGATGGGAGTATACAGGGGGCAGGGTCATGCAAGGTTTGGGAGCTTAGGACACATGAGGACGCACCATAATTAAATGAGAACATTTGGGGAGGCGTACGTAGGAGGGCAGCACACTGGGAATGCGGGGTAGGGGTGAGGACGGTGGTTCCCACAGGCTGCAAATCCGGTGGGGGATGGGCCGGAGGCTTCGGGCCGGTGTGGGCTGTTGGTCGCGTGGGGGAAACAGCAGGGGAGAAACGGCAGGAGAGAATGTGGGCCGGGCTGACGGGGTCTGGAGCGGACAGAGGGAGGCGGGTGGAGGGGCTGCCCCGACAGACTGGGGATGCCTGCGGAAAGGGACGGCCCCCGCCCCCGCCCCCATCGACTTCAGCCCCCAAGCCCCTCGCGCGGCCTCTAGCTTCCCGCCTCCTTTCCTGGCGACATGGGGACCCCACGAGAGGGCCCCGGCCCTGCTGCCGGCCTCGAGGGGTCGCGACCCGCGCCCGGGCCGGATTCTTCTCCCCACGCGCTTCCGCTAACGCGAGCTCCTGCCGACGTGGCACCCGCGGCCCGTCCCGGAGTCTGCAGGCCCGACTGCGCGCTGGCCCTCGCGAACTCACTGCGCATGAGCTGTGCTCTAGCCTGCGGCGCTCAGTCGTGGCGACCCTGGTGCCCACCGTTGGTACGTCACATACCACGTGACTCCCCGGCAGCGCGAGCTTGTGACGCATGAGCTGCCGGGGCCAATCGGAAGGCGCCCCGGATGTGTCCCGCCCCCGACGAGGGCAGGGAGCCACCTGCCGAGGGACTACCGTGTCAGCCACCGCAGGGCAGAAACTGCGGGTAAACATCCATCTTTTTGCTTTTTTATTCTGTGTCTCATGTTAGTATGTTAATGTTGGGCCGTAGAAATGTACAGCCCGTTTGGGAGAGAGACAACCGCCCAAAAAGACTCAGAGTCCAGAGGCTTGATGCAAGAGAGCAAGAGGATTTATTTTCCAGCGCAGCGCAGGGGCTAACAGCATCACCGAGATGGGGAAGCTGCCGTGCCGAAGCTCTCAAGCTTAGGGCTTTTATGGGGCGAGACCACACGCAGGTGGCCGGGAAGTTTAGGGTGGGGAAATTTTAGTAGCTCCATCTTGCACAACCAGTTGCACGACCACTACCCAATTCTGAGAACTTGCAACCGACACTTATGGGGAAAAAAGAAAAAAAGAAAGAAAAAGGGAGAGGTAGGGGTCTTAATTACCTAAGAGCAAGCATAGTTACAGAAGTGAAAAGCTGGTTAGGCTAGTTTGGGCCTTTAGGCTAGTTTGGGCCTTTCATTAACAATTCTCTTAATAGAAATATATTTAGTATAAGTATGTCCCAGAATAGTGTTACCAGATTTAAGTAAAAGTACAGGATGCCCAGTTAGACTTGAATTTCAGATAACAATAAATATCATTTTTAGTATTAGTGTATTTCATATTGAGTATATTTTTGAAACTTTTTAATGTAGATATACGAGTATAAGTAATTTTCAGTGTAACTATGTCCCATAGTCAGATTGCCAGACTACAGCATAGTTGGTTGTAGTAAACAAAAAGAAATCTCCAATGTAAATTATAGATAAACCACGAATACTTTCTTAGTATCAGTGTGTCACGTGTTTAGTATATTTACAATATGTTTTATATAAGTTATTTCATATAAATAATTTTTTAATATCAATATATCTACAATATAAGGATGTGTCAGTATAGGGTTGCCACATTTAGCAAGTAAAAATATAGGACCACACCTAGTTGAATTTGAATTTCAGATAAATGATGAATAATCTTTTTAGTACAACTATGTCCCAGAAGTATATTTGAGGCATACTTATACCAAATATTAATACTAATACTAAATACTATATTAAATACTAATAGTATATAAGTATGTTCCAAAGTATATTTGGAACATACTTATACTAAATTCTAATACCAAATCCTCTTCTAAATTCTGATATAGTATAAGTACATTCCAATATGTATTTGGGACAAATATTAAAAGATTATTCATTTTTTATCTGAAAATCAGATGGGAAGAGATAAAGATTTAAGGAGATGCCTCAGCTCTAGGACTGAGATTGGGATGGCTGGAGCTGTCCAGTGCTGAGATGAGGAAGCAAGAGGGTTGAGCTCTGGAAGGAAACCAGGACGCACCCTCAGGGGCCTGGGACTGAGCACCATTCATCCACTGAACAGCTGGTTATTGAGAGCCTAGGTGTGCCCAGTGTTGTTCTAGGCACGGAGACAGGAGCACATCAGTGAGCATCACTGACGTGGCTTGGGCCCTTCAGAAGCCCACGGTGCAGTGGGCTCACATCAGTAAACAGAGCAGATGCTTGCTTGTTGGGAAATTATGATTGAGGAACTAATGAGATGTGGCTCATAAGACCATTATTTTATTGTATAACCCAATATTACTATATTAAAGATAGAAACAGGAGTTTGCAGGGTTTTGCCCTGAAGGAATGTGTGGACTCAATGGTTCACTTATTAGAGGCTGCTATCATGGGAGAGTTCTCAAATCTCTGGAGGGGATGTTTTCCTGGAAGGCTTCCTGGTATCTCAAAATCTGTGAGCTTCCCCGTGTCTTGAAAAACAAGACAAGGTAACATGGCCCACAGGATGGGAGCTGGAGACAATGAGTGCACTTTGCCCAAAGAAGCACCCCGGTGGTTATAAACAACCTGTTTTATAGAGATGGGCTTCCTGCTCTCTCCTGTCTGTCTACCTTTAAGTCCACAATAAATAATCAAAGATGTGTAGAGTCATTATACCTCTTTTGTTATACCTTTGTTAGTTGACAACTACTACCTCTTAGAAGCTATCCCCTGAAAGACTTTGTACCTGTTTGTTCACCTAGATAGATTAGAATCCCCTTAAGAGGACTTTTGACCCCAACCCACTACCTGTATCCCCTAGCAGCTGCATTCCCTGATATGCAAATATGTTACCCTGACAACTGGTAATTGATGTCTGTGATTATAAAAACCTGTATGAATCTAACCGTATTGCTGGTGGTTGTGGAGATCCGCCAGTCCCCTAGGAACTTCCCGCTGTGTTATATCTGATCTTTATATATATATATATATATATATACATACATATATATGTATATATATATATATACACACACACATATAAAACTATAAACTATACCTTAGTCTCTGTGTATTCTTTTATTTCTCTCTGTTGCCTATCAATTTCCTCATCCTCTGTGGTGACCTGTATCTTAGGGACCTGGCTCCATGGGGAGAAGCAGCTGATCTCTTCACAGGCCTGCCTCAAATACTCTGTCCCACACTTGCTGGAAGTGTAAGTGCCTGGAAGAAAATAAAATGGGGCCTGGAAATAGAAAGTCCCAGGAGTGGCAGAGAGGAGCTACCTTAGCTAAGTGGTCAGGGCTATGCCTCTGTATCACTGCCTGCTGGCTGTTGGTCCCTGGAGTGTTGTATGCAAGTGCCACTATGTGCAAAAGCCACAGTTGGAAAAACAAAATGAGGGTGCTAAGGGCTTATTATTCTCCTTATAAATTAGGGACTTGTAATGACATGGGGCCCCTGGTTCATTTTCTTGGTAGCTGAAATTAGCTTGGGTCTTTGAGGCAGTGAAGGCTCATTTGTGCATTTAAAACTCTGTGACCCATTGGAAAAATCTCCCTTGAGAGAATATTGACTTAATTTGTCTCTAGAGTCATAATGAAAGATACTGCCACAGGCCACTGGAACTCTAGATCCCTCAAGAGGCAGCCTGGCACCACGCAGAGGTTTCCAGACTTTTTGTAAGCAGCAGAAACCTTTGTCCCAGATGGATTCTTACTCGAAACCCCAATACAAAAATTATATGAACAAAAAGCAGAACCATTGTGGTTGCCAGGGCCTAAAGGAAGAGGGAATGATGATTCTTTTGTAGGTGATGAAAATATTCTGGAATTAGATTGTGGTGATGGATGCACAACTATGAGAATATACTAAAAGCTACTGAACTGGGGCCAGGCATGGGTGGCTCACACCTGTAATCCCAGAACTTTGGGAGGCCAAGGAGGGAGGATCACTTGAGCCCAAGAGTCAGAGGCTGTAGTGAGCTGTGATGGCACCACTGCACTCCCACCGGGATGACAGAGCGAGACCCTGTGTCAATAAATAAATAATAAATAAAACCTACTGAACTGTAAAAAGATGAATTTTATGCTATGTGAATTACATCCCAATAAAATTGTTATTTAAAAGATGCAGAACTGTTTCTGTTGAGGCTGGTGGGAGGAAGACCCAGGGTCCCAGTTTAAAAGACCGCTCTTTGAGTCTTTTGAAAGGAAGACCTTATGTGATCACAATATGCTCAGAAATCAACTCCAGATAGATCTGGGGCATGAAACTAAAAGCAAAATATTAAAGCTTTTAGTAGGGAATATTTGAGAATATTTCAAACTTGGGAGTGGGGATGGCTTTCTCAATTAAGACACAAAAACTGATCACTATCTCTGCCCCAAGCTTAGAAAGACATTCTCCTATGTACATGGGGCTAACAAACCTGTGAAGGGAGGCGTCATCTGATTAGCAATGGGGGACACACAAATCAAGAACACAGGGAGGTTTTATCTCACATTCACTGGGCTGGAAAACACTTAGAGATCTCATAAATCAAGGGTGGAGAGACTGGCCCTCATCCTCTCTTCCACATTGTTGGTGGAGTATGAAGTGGTGAAGCTTTGGAAAACATTTTGGCATTTTCTACTTCAGTTGAACTGTGACCCAAACTTGCTGTATCTGCACTGGCTCCCTGGAGAAACTTGAACACATGGGCAATGGAGACAAGCATGAGAATGTGGTAGCATCGCTCTGCAGAAAAGCCAAGGGCCCTCTGGAGAAACCTAGCTGCATTGTGCTTTGTTCACACGGTGGAATATTACACAGCAGTGAAAAGGCACCAATACAGAAAGCAGTAGTATGGATCTGCCATAGTTTGTTTCTCCATTCACCTAGTGATGAACATTTTAAGTTGCTTCCAGTTTGGAGCTTGAATGAATAAAGCTTCTCTGAACATTCAGGTACAAGTCTTTGTGTAGTCATTGGTTTTCATTTCTCCATGAGAAATACCTGCTAGGAGAATGACTGAGTCCTGAGTATACAGATTGTTTTGTTTTGTTTTGTTTTGTTTTTGAGCCAGAGTCTTGCTTTGTTGCCCAGGCTAGACTGAGTGCCGTAGTGTCAGCCTAGCTCACAGCAACCTCAAACTCCTGGGCTCAAGCAGTCCTGCTGCCTCAGCCTCCCCAGTAGCTGGGACTACAGGCATGCACCACCATGCCCGGCTCATTTTTTCTATATATATTAGTTGGCCAATTAATTTCTTCCTATTATAGTAGAGATGGGGTCTCGCTCTTGTCAGGCTGGTTTCGAACTCCTGACCTCAAGCAATCCACCCGCCTCGGCCTCCCAGAGAGCTAGGATTACAGGCGTGAGCCACCGCGCCCGGCCCAGATTAATTGTTTTTAAATGATGAGAATCACCAAGAGAAATATAGACTAAATGAACTAACAGAAGGGGAACTAGAATGGTCACATAACTCATGGAAGTATGTTCATTACTTGAGCAATCAGAGCTGTGCTGAGTAACACTACAATGAGACCCCTTAGAGCAGACAAAATGGATGAATCCCTTAAAAGCCCCTATGGTGGTGTCAGCCTCATATTCATCCCTCTATGACTGTAAGTTGAAGTCATAACCTCCATCATCACCAACACCCATCGTCACCACCGTCGTCACCACCACCACCACCATCTATCCTCATTCCCATTATCAGTCCAAAACCACT